CGATCTGAAACTACAGCATTCCCTCCCAGAAACAATAAGTTCTCTCAGCGCAGTTGTATCATAAACCACAGGTGGTGTCTGCGTTTTTTAACAGACAGAAATGCGCTTTAGAGGTTGTCTGAGCTAAGAATTAACTAACCACTCTAGTAGACGAGTACCCGGCCATTAATCTCCCCTATGGCATCGAATGATGGCAATCTTCACATATGGCAAAAAGAAACTTGAAGCGACGGAGATGTGGTTCTGCCAACTAATGAAATAATACCGGGAACAGATCACGTGAGTAACGAGGAAGTTTGTAGTAAACTGAAATTATATTAGGAAATATAAGGATAAAGAAAGTGATATTTAGAATCAAAATGATAATAAAGAAAGAAGGCTTCGAGATTTTGACACCTACAAGATATATTGAAGACATGAGGAGCAGAAGGAAGCAGAGAGTAATTTCAAGTCACAATGAAGAAGATGATGAAGAAGAAGACGATAAGGATGAAGATGAAAAAGAGGAAGAGAGAGAAGATGAAGAAGATGAAGAAGTAGACGATAAAGATGAAAAAGAGGAAGAAGAAGATGATGATGTGAGAGAAGAAGATGAAGATGATGATGAAGAAGTAGACGATGAGGATGTAAAAGAAGAAGGAGACGATGGGGATGAAGATGAAAAAGAGGAAGAAGAAGGTGAAGATGTGAAAGAAGATGAAGAAGAAGATGATGAGGATGAAGATGAAAAAGAGGAAGAAGAAAATGAAGCTCATGATGTAGAAGAAGAAGAAGAAGAAGATGAAAAAGATGAAGAAGTAGAAGATGATGAAGGAGAAGAAGTTGAAGAAGATGTAATAGAAGAAGAAATTGAAGCAGAAGATGAGGATGAAGAATATGAAGATGAAGAAGAAGATGAGAAAGAAAGAAAGAAAGAAAGAAAGACGAACACCAAAATAAAAAGGGAAACGATTTTAACAAGCGAAAGAAATAAAATGGAAGAAAAGACAGAATGAAGACTAAGTGATGAACGGGAAAAAAGATTTTGAAAGAAATAAATAAGGAACGAGAAAGGAAAAATAAAAGAAGGAAAAAGACAGTGAAAGAAAAAATATATAAGAATAGTGAAAATAAAAGGAATATTGCTAGAAACAAAAAGAATTTAAGAAACAATGAAAAATGCATATTAAGAATAAACGAGAGAATGAAAAATGAATGAAAATCATTAAAAATAATTTAATGAATGGAAAGATTAATAAACGAAATAATGAAAAATGCCTATTAGGAATAAACGAAAGAATGAAAAATGAATGAAAATCATTTAAAATAATTTAATGAATGAAAAGATCAATAAACGAAATAATGAAAAATGCATATTAGGAATAAACGAAAGAATGAAAAATGCATATTAGGAATAAACAAAAGAATGAAAAATCACTATTAGGAATTGACGAAAAATGAAAAATCACTATTAGAAATAAACGAAAGAACAAAAAGTGAATGAAAATCATTAAAAATAATTTAATGAATGAAAAGATTAATAAACGAAAGAATGAAAAATCACTATTAGGAATTGACGAAAAATGAAAAATCACTATTAAGAATAAACGAAAGAACAAAAAATGAATCAAAATCATTAAAAATAATTTAATGAATGAAAAGATTAATAAACGAAAGCATGAAAAATGACTATTAGGAATAAACGAAATAATGGAAAATGCATATAAGGAATAAAGAAAAGAATGAAAAATCACTATTAGAAATAAACGAAAGAATGAAAAATGAATGAAAATCATTAAAGATAATTTAAAGAATGAAAAGATTAATAAACGAAAGAATGAAAAATGCCTATTAGGAATAAACAAAAGAATGAAAAATCACTATTAGGAATAAACGAAAGAATGAAAAGTGAATAAAAATCATTGAAAATAATTTAATGAATGAAAAGATTAATAAACGAAAGAATGAAAAATCACTATTAGGAGTAAACGAAAAATGAAAAATCACTATTAGGAATAAACGTAAGAATGAAAAATAAATGAAAAACATTTCATATAATTTAATGAATGAAATGATTAATAAACGAAAGAATGAAAAATGCCTATTAGGAATAAACGAAAGAATGAAAAATGCCTATTAGGAATAAACGAAAGAATGAAAAATGAATGAAAATGATTAAAAATAATTTAAAGAATGAAAAAATTAATAAACGAAAGAATGAAAAATGCATATTAGGAATAGAGAACGAAAATTATTTAAAATATAAAAAGTAAAAGGATACACTTCCATTAATACTACTAAAAAACCTCACTAATACTAATACTACTATTGCAAAAGTTAACAATAACATTTTTAAGTAACTGTAGGGAGAAGAACAAAGAAAGATCTGTTTTTGTGTTAAGAGAAACTTTTGGGCACGTTCGTCTCGCCGCCCATCGCCAGCCGTCCGATGGCTGGTTACGAAAGACGCCCTCGTCGAGGAGGTTTATGCAAGATTTTAGCAAGTAAAGAAGAAAAAAAAGGGATTTTTGGTGTTCTTAATTCTTCGTCTGGGGCCAATGTCACGTAATGGATGGCAAGGAGAAAAGGAAAATAAAATAAACAAGGTAAATGCAAACTAAGTTCTGAGGGATTCTTTAGCTTGGGAGTGGGGAGAAAAGTTTTGAAAATGGGTAAACCAAGAAGGAAGGCGGAAGAAAAGGTACAGCTAAAGGAATGATGAGAATGTACGGCTGACGGAAAAGGAGAAATACGGAGAAAGAGAGAGAAAGAGAAACAGAGAGAGAGAGAGACAGACAGAAATGAGGAAAAAGAGAAAGCAAAGGAAAAGTATAAGAAGAAAGAAAGAAAGAAAGAAAGAAAGAAAGAAAGAAAGAAAGAAAGAAAGAAAGAAAGAATGAGAAATAATATAGGGGTACGGAGATAAAGAAATGCAGAGAGCGAAAATATAAGGTGGAAAGAAAGAAAGAAAGAAAGAAAGAAAGAAAGAAAGAAAGAAAGAAAGAAAGAAAGAAAGAAAGAAAGAAAAAGTACAAAAAATGAGTTCCGAGTAGACTGAAAAAACGAAAAATGAAAGAAACGGGAGAATTAGAGAGAAAAATACATAGGATAAATAAATGAATTAGTAAAGAAAGAAAGAAAGAAAGAAAGAAAGAAAGAAAGAAAGAAAGAAAGAAAGAAAGAAAGATGACGAGGAAATGAAGAGTGGGAAATAATATAGGGGCCAAGGAGATAAAGAAATGCAGAGAAAGGAAGTAAATGGTGGAATGAAAGAAAGGAAGGAAAAAGTAACGAAAGAAAGAAAGAAAGAAAGAAGATGTTGAAATGAAGTGGGGGACTAAAATGTCACGAAAGAAAGAAACAAAGAAAGAAACAAAGAAACAAAGAAACAAAGAAAGAAAGAAAGATGTTGAAGTGAAGGGAGGAACTTAAATGTCACGAAAGAAAGAAAGAAAGAAAGAAAGAAAGAAAGAAAGAAAGAAAGATATTGAAATGAAGGGAGGAACTTAAATGTCACGAAAGAAAGAAAGAAAGAAAGAAAGAAAGAAAGAAAGAAAGAAAGAAAGATGTTGAAATGAAGGATTGGGGAGAACTTAGATTTCATGAAAAAAAAAAGAAAGAGAGAAAGAAATACAGAAAGAATGAAAGAAAGATTAAAGAAAGAAAAAAGAAAGAAATTTATGTCTGGAACGTGAGTGTTACAAAGAAATCAAGAGAAGCAAAAAAAAAAAAAAGAAAAAGAAAACAGAATCGGGTCATGAAATAAAACAAGAAAACTCAGTTTTGTCAATATTAAGAACGTGACTTCCGTGACGGTTAAAAGCGTGTAAAATTCGCAATAAAAAATGGATGTTGCTCCTCACTGAACGCCCTCATTACAGTGGCCTTGTACCAGAATAAACCATGCTTATAACAACTCCTCGCCACTGAAGCTAGTTTGTGATTCTGTAGCGCCAATTCACCTAGTTCTAAGAAGGATGGTCCAGCCTAGAATCCATTTTTAATCATGGATCTTGGAAATTGGTTGCGATAACTGACACTTTAGATATTTTTTACAGTTTATCAACCCTTTGTAGGTTATTTAAAACCAAGAGCCTTACTAATTAACCCATAGCTGAAGGGAGAAGAGGTCGATTCATAAATTCTCAAATGGTTTATTCTGGCACAAGGCCACTGTAATGAGGCGTTCAGTGAGCAGCAGCATCCAGTTTTTGTGGGGGTGCCAATTTTGGACGCTTAACAGTCAAAGAAAGTCATGTTCTCAATATAGCGAAGATCTTGCTTTATTTTGACACCCGATTCTGCTCAATAATTAAGACGCCTCATGGTGAACTAAATTCAGGAACTTATGCCCAGGTAGGCCATAAAACACTCCGTAACTGATGAACGTTCAATCTTGTCTGGAGAAAAATGTTGATAGTGTAGTGAGCCCGATGGAAACTCAAATCGATATGGATATTGTGTGAAAACCAGGATGAAAATTCCTATCGTCCAAAGAGGTACCGAAATATGCTTGGCCAGACCCACTTACCAAAATCTGTCCAAGAATCTACTCTGAAAGCTATTCCTCGAAAGACTTTCAGCAAGTTTCTCTATAACTTTGGGACATACAGTTTTAAACGTATGATCAAATCAAATTGGGCTTACGGTCATATCACGTTAAAACACCGGGTTTTAAGATCAGCGAAATTAAGCAACGTCGAGCCTGGTCAGTACCTAGATGGGTGACCGCTTGCAAATGTTGCAAGATTGGATGTGCGGGTCGTATGTCTTACGGTCATATCCCGTTGAGACACCGATTCCCGTCAGGTCAGCGAAGTTAAGCAACGTCGAGCCTGGTCAGTACCTAGATAGGTGACCGCTTGCAAATGTTGCAAGCTTGGATGTGCGGGCCGTATGGCTTACGTTCATATCCCGTTGAAACACCTATTCCCGTAAGGTCAGCGAAGTTAAGCAACGTCAGTACCTAGATGGGTGACCGCTTGCAAATGTTGCAAGCTTGGATGTGCGGGTCGTATATCTTACGGTCATATCCCGTTGAAACACCGATTCCCGTCAGGTCAGCGAAGTTAAGCAACGTCGAGCCTGGTCAGTACCTAGATGGGTGACCGCTTGTTAATACCAGATGCTGCAAGCTTGGATGTGCGGTTGGTGTAATGGATAACGACTCCAAATTGTTAACCGTGAAGCCGAGTTCTAATTCCAGTTGGGCTGGTTGTTTTCACTTAAGTTCAGATAAACTTGGAAAAGGTATGAATCCACCCCTCTCCCCCAGGTATTTCTTTGGCTTTAAATAACCTACAAAGGGTTGATAACCTTTAAAAAACGAACCAATCAGTCAAATTAATTTAAAAGAGATAAATACTTTCAAAAATGTCTTACTTTTCTGCAATAGCCAAAAGGCGAAACAAAAAGTCAGTTACTAATGCGCTGGGGTTAATCTTTGATTCGTCTTCGTTAATAAATATCTGGGTGGTGGAGCTACATGATCTTCACTTTCAAGTCTTGATATTAACAGTTTTATTTTTAAAAAATTGTTTTTTATTTTATTTTATTTATTTTTATTTTTATTTATTCATTTATTTATTTATATTTTATTTTATTTTATTTTATTTATTTTTATTTTTATTTATTCATTTATTTATTTATATTTTATTTTATTTTATTTTATTTTTGGCGTGTCGGGGGGTCACACTGTACCTGGCTTTATCTTGTCAGATTAGAACAAAATTAGAGTAATGTCGCCATATGTTTTGCAGGAGCCGATCAATTCTCACTTTCTAGCTTTGATAGGTCTCAAAATCGTTTCCCCGGCCTTGTGGGTGATGACTTATTTTCCACTCTACTGCATTTCTCAGCATCCCAGACGCAACAACACATGCATATTGCTGTTCTGTCGCTGTTTCCATGATGCATGTTTAGATGAGCTCTCAGTTCTTCAGTTCCATGAGTTCCTTTTCCATGGCTTTTCTGTAAATAATTCCATGATAACCTTTCGGATAAGCATTCTTCTATGGTACCCAGACTTTATGAATTTAAGCTAAGTACTAGATTGACAGCAAGGTCTCACCATTTTACGGGGGAAATCTCTAGATGTCACCGTAAGTTCTATGCTAATAGTTTCTTCTGTCGCACTTCTCCATTGTGGATCTCTCTTCAGGCTTCTTGTTTCGCAGTCATCTTTGATCTTCCAAAATTTAAAATGTTATGTCAACCGTTGTTTTTGTCTTCTTCATTCCTTTTCTTTTATTATTCGCTCACCTTATTAATGTTTTCTCATATTCTCTTACTCTTGCATCTTTTTTGGCTTCTGCTATATATTTAGAAGTTTTCTGATAAAATCCAAAGAAGTACCTGCAATGTTATTGGTCCTAACCTGGCATCTCGGCATTAGTAATTTTCACACGGCCACTGTGCATTTTTTGATAAATATTTTCATGGTAATTGTTCTGACGAACTAGTCTCTACGGTACGTAGATGTTATGAATTTAAGCGCAGTACTAGATTGGCGGTAAGGTCTCATCATTTTACGAGTGAAATCTCTAGATGCAACCGTAAGTTCTATGCTAACTCTTCTTCTCTCGCACTTCTCGCTAGTGGAACTTTCTTCCAGCTTTTCACTTCCCAGTCAACTTTGATCTTCAAAGATTTAAATGCAATGGCAATCGTTATTTTCTGTCGTCTTAATTCCCGTTCTCTTATTTTTTCTTTCTCCTTAATGGTGTTTTTGTTTCTCTAATATTATCTAACACTCACTAACACCTTGCGTTGTTAGTGGCTTTATTGCCTTTCTTTGGATGAATGAAAAAAAGACTCTCTCGTGGATCTGAACACTTTAATCAATTAATGTCAAGGGTCAATTGCTATATAGCTTCTTTATTCTCATTATCTTCTCTTAATATCTTTTTTGCTTTCATTCATGCTCCACCTCATTTAAAAATAAACCTCTACCTTGAAAGGCTCTCGAGCATTGGTTGAGGGGACGGGGGGATCATTTTTCTTCCTGCTCAGTTTTTTGAATAGGTTCGCCTCTTGTCTCCTGTTCTTTCAAATCTGTCCGCTTGAAATTTGAAATTTTATTCTATAATTATTTCCCCCCTCCCAGTAAGAAGATACAGGCTTGTCTATCGTCCAATTCACACTCCTACCCGGTCTTTTGAACAGGAGTGCGGGTTCATCTCTTTTTCCCTGTATAGGATTGGGCTTCCAGTTCCTTCTAAACTTCTCTACGTCAACTCTATACTCCTAACAGAACTCTGGAATTTTATTCAATAATTGAATCTTGATCTATTAAAGTCTAGAGCAGGGATCACCAAACTATAACCCACGGGCCGGATCCGGTCCCCGATGTCAGGTCATCCGGCCCGCCGTTTCACTTTGCCACAAATGAGTTAAAATATAATTATTTATATGGAATTCTCAATAGATTGTAGTTAAACTTACTATATAGAAAAAATTAAAATAAATTTAAGTAAAATGCTAAAATTTGGCCAATCTGATTTTTGCATCTGACAGTAATATAAGTTTTCGGAAAATCAGTGAAATAAAAAATTCAGCAACTTTTTTGAAACTTTTGATATCCAAGCGTTTTTGTGTAAGTACATGCAATGAAGTTTCTAAGAAAAGCAATTACGAAACCTGCTGCAGCAGTTATGTTTTAAATTGCATTGCCGTGTTTAAACAGGTTTGAAGAGTGCCATATATAAAAAGGACTGACTTAAGCGAATTATGTCATGTATTTTGCCTAAACTTATTATAAAATCTAAAGTATGTAAAGTCAGCACATGAAATGAGTTTGACTGATAAACATTTGAAAGCATTTCTCTTGGTTGGATGCAGCAATACCAAAACAAATATTAATTATATCTTCAAAGGTAAACACCAGTTTTACAAATCTCAATAATCTTTTATGCTGCTTAGTTCATAAGATTCGGATATGTGTGCACTTGGTGTGATATAACTATTCTATTGCTAATGTCACCTTCTTGGATAACTTTTTAGTAAATAAGTATGTTTGTTGTCTTTATTTTTTGTGTATTCACTGTATTGTATTGAAGAGAATGGTTATCAAGCCGGTCCTCCTCATTCTCTCAGTTATCTGGTCCTCCGTGAAAAAGTTTGGTGACCCCTGTACTTGACTATGTCACCCGCCGGGACGCCGCATCGCAACCACACTTTTCTTCAATTCAGCATGGTATACTATGATGGTCTTGTGTTGTCTCTATTACCTGTGTATTCTACCTGTGTCTATAATCGGGTACCTCGAGGCGGTGTAATGGTTAGCAAGCTTTTCTCGCTAGAACAATTATGATTGAGTGGTGAATCGAATCCTCACTGGGTGCCCCCTACTTTCGGCCTTGTGCCACATCTAAGCTACACTTGGAAAATCACTATACAAATTAGCGTCCTCTTCTTCTTCTTCCCTCGCATGGCTGCCAGAGAAATAATTTGCTGGCAACCTCATCATCATTGAACAAAATGGCTATCTGGCCCACACTCGCAATTTTTAGTTTTGGTCTAGAGTTAACCATCTATCTTTCCTGTTATCTTGCCCTTTCTTGCACTAATATAACTCCACACAGTAACGCTCTACTTTGAGTGGCACTTGGGCCTTGTATTAGGTAAATGTTAGTAAAAAAAATGAAGCCCTTTTCCTACAGAAAAAATAACGGAAGCTTATTGCTATTTTGTCGCTATTTCCGTGGCAAATGTTCAGATAAGTTCATTCCTCAGTTCCACAATTTTACACCTTTAAACTATACCCAAGGAAACGAATCATCCTCATTTCCCCCATGGAACCTATATTTTATGAATTTAAGCGAAGTGCTAGTTTGGTGGCAAGGTTTCATTTTACAGCTGAAAGAGCTAGATGCAACCGTAAGTTCTATGCTAAGAGTTTCTTCTATCGCACTTCTCCCTTGTGGAATTCTCTTTCTTCTTCCCAGTCAACTTTGATCTTCAAAAATTTAAATGCAATGTCAATTGTGGTCTGCTGTCTTCTTAATTCCTGTTTTTTTATTGTTTTCTCACATTAATTTTTTTTCTCATATTCTCTCACTCAGTGTAACATAGCAACAACTCTTAGAAACTTATGAAGCTTTATTTAACTCATGCTGTTTTACTTCTGAAAAACGTTTATTTTATTGTGATGGATGTTTACAAGCAAGAGGGGAGATGGGGCGTATTAGTGGCTTTATTGCCTTGCTTGTGTGAATGATTAAAAAAGCATTTGCAAACTTTTAGAAGAGCTAAAAACACTGAAAGATGCAATATACAGAATAGTGCTATCACGTAAAAAAGAAAAGAGGCCTGAGCATCAGCATGATATTAGATATACCCGATAAAATCCATAAAAGAATGTGCAATGTTATTGGTCCTGACTTGGCATCTCGGCTTCAGTCACTTTCCCACTGCCATGATATAGCTCCCCTCTGCCTTTTCTTCTAAATACTTTCTTGGGAACTGCTCAGATAAACTTTCCTCTATGGTACTTAGACTTTATGAATTTAAGCACAGTACTAAATTGGCAGCAAGGTGCCATCATATTACAGTGGAAATGCCTAGATGTAACCGTAAGTTCTATGCTAGCAGTTTCTTTTACCACACTTTAAACAATTTAAATCAAGGGTCAATCATTATATAGATTTCTTTAATCTCTTTATGTTCCCTTAATACCATTTCCTCTTTCTCTCATGCCACCCATCATTCAAAAGTAACTCTCTATATTGACTGGCTCTCGAGCATTGGACTGGGTGAAATTTAATTAAAAAAGTTTGACAGACTAATGATTTTATTTTATCAGCCCAACAATCCTCATTCAAAAGTAACTCTACATTGACAGGCTCACGAGCATTGGATTGAGTGAAATTTAATTAAAAAACAGTTGACAGAAGTTTTTACGTAGTTTTGTGTGTAAGGATTTTATTTTATCAGCCCAACAGTCCTCATTCAAGAGTAACTGTACATTGACAGGCTCTCGAGCATTGGACTGGGTGAAATTTAATTAAAAAGGTTTTACAGACGTGTTTACGTGTCTTGTGTCGAATGATTTTATTTTTCAGCCCAGCAGCTCTCATTCAAAAGTAACTCTAAATTGACAGGCTCTCGAGAATTGGATTAGGTAAAATTTAATTAA